TGGGATTTCACCCTGTTGGCTGGTCTAAAAGTCCTGACCTCAAGTGATTCGGCCCCCTCACAACTTTTTTAGTTAAAATTGTTGTTGAGATAAAATTCACATAACGTAAATTTACCGTTTTAATCATTTTATAGCAATACTACAATTTAATAATTTTTAGCATATTTACAATGTTGTAAAATTACCACTGTGGCCGGGCGCAGTGGCTCACACCTGTAATCCCAGCACTTTGGGAGGCCAAGGCAGGCGGATCATTTGAGGTCAGGAATTCCAGACCACTCTGGCCAAAATGGTGAAACCTCATCTCTACTGGAAAAAAAATAAATAAACAGGCCAGGCATGGTGTCACGTGCCTGTAATCTGAGCTACTCGGGAGGCTGAGGCAGGAGAATTGCTTGAACCTAAGAGGCGGAGGTTGCAGTGAGCTGAGATCATGCCACTGTACTCCAGCCTGGGCAAAAGACAGAGTGAGACTCCGTCTCAAAAAAAGAAATACAAGAGTGAACATTCCTGTCTCCTTTCTGATCTTAATACGGAAGCTTTCAGTCTTTCACCATTATGATGTTAGCTGGGAGCTTTTTATTTTTGTCAGGCAGAAGAAGTTCCTAGTTCCTAGAAATTCCTAGTTTGTTTAGTGTTTTTATCATAAAAGAGGGTGTGGATTTTGTCAAATGCTTATTTTACATCTATTGAGATAATCTGGTGGGTTTTTTCCTTTTATATTCTGTTAACAATGGTGTATTACATTGTAATGATTACATTGTAATGGTGTATTATGTTGATTGATTTTTGTATGTTGAACCAACATTGAGTTCCTGGGATAAATCCCACTTTGCCTTTTAATATGCTGTTGAATTTGGTTTGATAGCATTTTGTTGAGCATTTTTGCATCTGTCCACAGAAAAGATATTAGTCTGTAGTTTTCTTGTGATGTCTTTGTATCAGGGTAATACTAAGAATAAATTAGGAAGTGTTCCTTCCTCTTCTGTTTTCCCTTGCATTTTAAAATGGTTTTTTAATGTGTTTTGTATTTTAAACATGTATCGCTTAGTTTTACATGGTGGTGCTTGGTTGGTTTTGAGACAGTCCTCCTCTGTTGCCCAGGCTGGAGTGCAGTGGCACGATCATGGTTCACTACTGTGATAACCAGTGCCTCCCAGGTTCAGGTGATTCTCATGCCTCAGCCACCCGAATAGCTGGGATTACATGCGTGTGCTACCACATCCTGCTAATTTTTTTTTTTTTTTTACACAGATTCTCACTCTGTCGCCCAGGTTGGGGTGCAGTGGCACGATCTGAGCTCACTATAGCTTTCGCCTTCTGAGTTCAAGCAGTTATTATACCTCAGCCTCCCAAGTAGCTGAGATTACAGGCACGTGACACTACACCCAGATTTTTTTATTTTATTTATTTATTTTTTTTGTATTTTTAGTAGAGATGGCGTGTTGCCCAGGCTGTTCTCAAACTCCTGAGCTCAGGCGTTCTGCCCGCCTCAGCCTCCCAAAGTGCTGGGATTACAGGCGTAAGCTATGGCACCCAGCCTTGATTTTCATTGTAAAGATTTTTTTCTTTTTTTACTTCTATTGAGTTTACAGCAGTAAACAAACTCAAATTCCTATTTGCTTCTGCCTGCGCACCCAGTTTTTTTATTATTTGGATCATTTCTTTTTTTTTTTTTCTGAGACGAAGTTTCGCTCTTGTTACCCAGGCTGGAGTGCAATGGCGCGATCTCGGCTCACCGCAACCTCCGTCTCCTGTGTTCAAGCAATTCTCCTGCCTCAGCCTCCCGAGTAGCTGGGACTACAACGTGCGCCACCATGCCCAGCTAATTTTTGTATTTTTAGTAGAGACGGGGTTTCACCATGTTGACCAGGATGGTCTCAATCTCTTGACCTCGTGATCCACCCGCCTCGGCCTCCCAAAGTGCTGGGATTACAGGCTTGAGCCACCGCGCCCAGCTGTACCCTATTATTTAAAAGGGGGTTGTACAAACAGTATTTCTTGAATTATATGTGTGTGTGTGTGTGTGTGTGTGTGTGTATATATATATATATATATTTTAATATAACCTTAAGCCTATAAAAATCATCGCAATCCAGCCTGGACACTATGATGAAATCCTGTCTCTATGAAAAATACGAGAATTAGCCAGGCATGGCAGCATGCCCTTATAGTTCTACCAACTCAGAAGGCTGAGGTGGGAGGATTAATTGAACCCAGGAGGTCGAAGCTGCAGTGAGCTGTAATTGTGCCACTGCACTCCAGCCTGGCCAACAAAGCAAGACCCTATATCAAAAAAATAAGAATATTAATATTAATTTAGGCAATTACAAATATATATCAACATATGTGTATGTGTGTATATATGTACACATACATATAACTCCATATATATATGTGTATATCCCTTATATTTGAAAGATACATATAAAAGCCTCAGTTAATACTTTCCTTAGATATCTTGTAGTATTTATTATACCACTGTCTTCTGGAATTGAGAGAGTGTGTGAGTTTGAGTGTTTGTGTGTTGCTGAAGAGATCAAAGGCTGGCCTGATCTTCTCCTCCTTGATGGTTTTTGCCTAGCTGTTGAAAGGAATCCGTCTTCAAGATTCAATAACTTTACTACATTATTGATCGTCACTGACTATTCTGGGACCATATTCATTGGCACACTGTGTTGTGTCCTTTCTTTTTTATTTGAGACGGAGTCTCTCTCTCTTGCCAGGCTGGAATGCAGTGGAGTGATCTTGGCTCACTGCAACCTCTGCCTCCCAAGTTCAAGCAGTTCTCCTGCCTTGGCCTCCTGAGTAGCTGGGACTCCAGGTGCCTGCCACCATGCCCAGCTAATTTTTCTATTTTTAGTAGAATCGGGGTTTCACCATGTTGGCCAGGATGGTCTCCATTTCTTGACCTTCTGATCCACCCGGTTCAGCCTCCCAAAGTGCTGGGATTACAGGCATGAGCCACCGTGCTTGGCCTTTTATTTTTTTCTGAGACAAAGTTTCACTCTGTCACCCAGGCTGGAGTGCAGTGGCATGATCTCAGCTGACTGCAACCTCCACCTCCCTGGCTCAACTGATACTCCCACTTCACCCTCCCAAGTAGCTGAGACCAAAGGCACATGACACCATGCCTGGCTAATTTTTTGTATTTTTGGTAGAGACGGGGTTTCACTGTGTTGCCCAGGCTGGTCTTGAGCTCTTGAATTCAAGCCATCTGCCTGCCTTGGCTTCCCAAAGTGCTGAGATACAAGCGTGAGCCACCGCACCCAGTCCCAGCCTTTTCTTAGATTTGCCACAATTGGGCAGAACTTTTTGCTTTTGTCTGTGTGCATTCTTTGAACTGCAAATGTTTCCTCATCGCCCTCAACCCAAGCTCATCCCTTTGCTCTTCCCAGATCTCAGAAGTTCTTGATGAGTGCAAAAGATACAGGTATATTACTTCAGAGGACCCTTTTATGTATAGGATATATGTTTTGCTATTTTCTGAAATTGCCACTTTTGGCTTTTTTGATACTGCTTAATTTTGCTTTGTGTGGCTTCTGCTACATTTCCCTCATTTGGGTTCTATAAAGAGCTTAACTTTCTTTCTGTGTGTTATTCATTCTCCAGATTATATCTGTTGCCCAGTTCTGAAAATGCAGTTGGTGGTGTTTTTTTTTTATTCACAATTTTGTTTTTATATGATACTCAAAAAGAAAATCAAAGCTGTTTTCCTATACTGCTACATTCATACTAGGCTGTTCTGCTGTTTAAAGTAAATTTGCAGCCAGGTGTGGGGGCAGACACCCGTAATGTCATTACTTTGGGATGCCAAGGTGGGAGGATCAGTTGAGCCCAGGAGTACGTGACCAGTTTTGGCAACATAGTGAGACCTCATCTCCCAAAAAATACAAAAGTTAGCTATGTTTGCTGATACATGCCTATAGTCCCAGCTACTTGGGAGGCTGAGATGGGAAGATTGCTTCAGCCCAGGAAGTGAAGGCTGCAGTGAGCCGTGATCTGTACTGCATTCCAGTCTGGGCAACAGAGAGAGACCCTGTCACCAAAAAAAAAAGCCATAAGTCATTTAATAGCCAAACAACCTGAAACTGTACAGGACTCTCAGAGAAAATTATTGTGAAGGATTAGATAGGGCAAAAATAGCAATATGCTATACATACTCACTTTTCAGTTTTAATAAGTCTATTCAAATTAGTTCAGTGCTGCCACTCCAGAAAATACAACCTGTTCTTGCTTATTGATTAAGTAGTTCCTTTGGGAGATGATAGAGCTGCTTTGAAACTATAGATATAGTCCTGTAGATCTAGTCTTCGAGATAACATTTATTTTTCTTAGATCAGTCTGCTAGAAGGAGTTGCTCATTATGAAAGTAATGTATCTGCCATGCTCTAAAAGTCTAGCAAGTAGTCACCTAGCATTCCTCTCCCTTTCTCATCGTTCTGTGCAACATTAGCAAATGAATATACTCAGCTTGCTTTGAGGTATCTTTTCAATTTTTTCTTTTTAAGGTATCTTTTTTTTCTTTTTATTTTTCCTGCCCCCAAAACAGAACATGTTTCACTTGAGGTATCTTTTGATGTCTAGTTTTTAAGTGGAACTGCTGAGGCAAATTGGACTGCCTTTGAGTCAGTCCCACAATTTGTGTTCTTGTTGTTGTTTTTCTCCACCCTCCTCTCACATGTAAGAATCCCACAGTTTTAAATCTAAGACCAGCAGATAACACATATCTGTGGATTGGCTTTCCAACCAGTGCAGCTTATATGGAGAAGGACCATAGAATATTTAACTCCATCATTGGCTACAGACTAGGTAATGCTTTTTGCCTTAGTGTCTAAAAACTAGAGTATTAAAAAAGGTTCAGTATCCCTTATCCAAACTGGTTGAGACCAAAGGTATTTCAGATTTCAGATTTTTTTGGGTTTTGGAATATTATAACGTTCACTTAAAGTTTTACCAAGTTCATTTTTTTGTTTCTTTGTATTTTGTGATTCTTGCAGGATTATGTTGACAAAGAAAAGGCAATTGCCAAAGCCTTGGAAGACCTCAGAGCCAACTTTTACTGTGAACTCTGTGATAAGCAGTATCAGAAACATCAGGAATTTGATAACCATATCAACTCCTATGATCATGCACACAAGCAGGTGAGTTATAGTTACTTGCTAACAGAGAAGAAGATACCTTATCTATTGTTACAACGATTGAATTTTATGAGTATACCCCCAAAAGCTTGGTGTCTGTGATTTCTTGTGTCTCCCAGTCTTTATCTGCAGTCATCTGACACACTTCGTTTTTTTAGTAGCAGAAATCCTGACATAGACACCCCCTCAAGCCCACCACCACCACATATACACTATTATTTGACGAATTGTGTTTATAAATCTTATATAATGTTTTTGCCTTTGATTGATTTCTAAGTTTTTATTTAATTTTGTAATTCAGCTGAGGGTCACTGGGAACTTTGTTTCCATTTCTGCTCTTAACATGTTAAACTTTTAAGAGTTATTCAGCAGACTGTGTTTTTTTGAACTTCCCTGTATAAGAGTTCATGCTTTATTGGCTACTGTTTTCTATTATTAAGTCATTTTGTTATTCAGTGTACCTTGGAAGTTAGATAAATCTTTGGAAGGAAAATAAAATTAGATGCTATCTTAACTTTAACAAAAAACTCTGATGCTGCATGTTGAAGAGTTGATAAATGAATTGCACTTTCTTTGCAGGCTTTGCCTTCACCCCCTGGCCGCCACCCCATCATTTTAGAAAAGAAAATTGTACCTAACCTAGTTACTGATATATAGGAGATGGCAATAGTCGCCCTGGGAGATTAGAAGGGGAAAGTAAATTGTTACAACCTAAAGGAGAGTTCTGGTTTATTAAAGAATTTCAAGCTATTTGATCTTGGGTGACTTTAGCATAACTTACTAGGTCTTTGGGGGGTACAATAGTCGTATTTGTTAAATATGTAAATTTATGAGCATTGGAATGATATCTCTTAAGCTAGACTTGTTGAACTAAGACTTTTTTAACCTTCATCTTCTAGCCAACCATACCTCATTCACAGGTAAAAGGCAGTCTTTGACCAAGTTTTACTCTTACTAGAATGGGGAGAAATTACAAGTTGGTTGTGATATACTCTTTTGGAACATTTAACTACAACTAACCAATTTAAGATTCTTCCACTGATGGACTTGTATTCAAGACAGCTTTTCAACTTACTATATACCTTTGGACATTCTTTTAATATATTGTCAGCTTTGCTTGATTCAAAGAAGAGAAATTTAGAGAGAGAGAGAGAGAGAGAGAGAGAGAGAGTGTGTGTGTGTGTGTGTGTATGTACACAAGCTGTATTGACAGTTACTTTTTTTACTCTTTCAAAGACTCGTTTTTCAGGAAAGAAAAATGCAACAGCGAGTACTTCTTATCCAGGACCTTTTCCAGTTTTTCAGTGTATTTATAATTTGAAAATTTCAGGCCGGGCACAGTGACTTACACCTGTAATCGCACCACTTTGCAAGCCCAGGAGTTTAAGACCACCCTGAGCAATGTAGCAAGGCCCACCCCCTCCCTCAGTCTCTACATAAAATGTGATTAGCTGGGTGTGGTGGCACCTGACTGTGACCCCAGCTACTCCAGAGGGTGAGGTGGGAGAATCACTTGAGCCCAGGAGTTTGAGGTTGCAGTGAGCCATGATCATGCCACTGCACTTCACGCCAGGCAACAGAGCAAGACCTTGTCTCAAAAAAACAAAACAAAACAAAAAACTCTCTCAAGTTACTTATTTTTATTTAATTAACAACAGACATTTAGTATGTAAGTATATACCCAAGTTTTCGGGCTCTTGAGAATGTTTTCAATTAAGAAATATCTGCGATATATTAACAGAAGATACCTTAGGCAGAAAAAGGATATTTAGAAAGGTTAGCCAGGCACGGTGGCTCATGCCTATAATCCCAGCACTTAGGGAGGTCAAGGCATACAGAATCACTGTTTTGCCTTGATATAATTTTTTTATCAGTTATCTCGAACTAAGGTCAGTTCGAGACCATCTTGGCCAACATGATGAAACCTTGTCTCTACTAAAACTACAAAAATTAGCCAGGCATGATGGCACATGCCTGTAATCCCAGCTACTTGGGGGGTTGAGGCATGAGAATCGCTTGAACCTGGGAGGTGGAGGTTGCAGTGAGGCAAGATCATGCCATGGCACTCCAGCCTAGGCGACAGAGCAAGACCCAGCCTNAGAGACGGGATTTCACCATGTTGACCAGGATGGTCTCGATCTCTTGACCTCGTGATCCACCCGCCTCGGCCTCCCAAAGTGCTGGGATTACAGGCTTGAGCCACCGCGCCCGGCAGGACTGAACTTTTATTTAATTCCAAGGTGTGTTTCAGTTGTGAACAAAAGCAGGAGTTCCCTGGAGCTTTAAGTAGCTAAACTAAAACAGTGAAGCCTCTAGCAGCCACCAGTGACTATTTTGATTTGTACAAAATAGACTCTGTTAATACATGATTTAGTTAACATTACCTAAATTGTTTGCAACTCCTTTTTGACAGGATTACTTACTCTTAGTTGACTGTTTCATTACCCGATAACATATATTACCAAGGAACAGAAATTTTAGATTATTTCTCATTATTCAAAAATGAAACAGATTCTAAATTGAAGTAGTCCCTGAGAATTTCCTTGGTGATGAAAGGAATGATCATTTTTAGACTTCACAGGGACTTAATTGAAGTTTGGTGTGGCCACTTTCCACTTGAATTTTTCACTGTTATACTGATAAAATTTTTTGCCTGTCAAGATATTTTACAGCATGTGATCCTCCCTCTGTAAACTTCATATATACGGCATCAGGACAGTAAGAACATCAGATCAGTTAGACCTCTCCCAAGCCAATACATATTTGAAGAAATACATACTGGGTTCCGTTGTTAGTCAGTGGGAAAAAAACATAGAAGTATATAAAAAAGGAAAGTGCCTAGGGCTAACATAAAAAGAATGACACTTCTAAGAAGTGAAATCATCCAGATCAGATACTCATGAGGATACTCCCTAGGTACTCAATATTTTGGGTGTTTACAGAATGTTTTATCCTTAGAAAATCAAAAAGTAGGCTGGGTGCAGTGACTCACACCTGTAATCCCAGCACTTCAGGAGGCCAAGGCAGGTGAATCACGAGGTCAGGAGTTCAAGACCTGCCTGACCAACATGGAGAAAGCCCATCTCTACTAAAAATACAAAATTAGCCATGTGTGGTGGCACATGCCTGTAATCCCAGCACTTTGGAAGGCCAAGGCGGGCAGATCACTTGAGGTCAGGAGTTCAAGACCAGCCTGTCCAACATAGTGAAACCCATCTCTACTAAAAATAAGAAAAAAATTAGCCAAGCGTGGTGGCGTGTTTCTGTAATCCCAGCTACTATAGGCAGGAGAATTGTTTCAGCTCAGGAGGTGGAGGTTGCAGTGAGCCAAGATGGCACCACTGCACTCCAGCCTGAGTGACAGAACAAGACTCTATCTCAAAAAAAAAAAAGAAAACATAAACCAGGAAAAAGTATAATTCAAACTTGAATAATGTATAGACTTGCCTTTTAAGGGGAAAAATTATATCAAAGCAAAACAGATTTATAATTTAATAAAATTGACATTGACAACATTAATGTGATCTATGATAATGTTTTAGTGACAATGTCTAACCTGAATGTAGTAGAAATTGTTACATCTTTGGTTCATTTGAATTTGACATATTTATTCTCCTCACACTATGTGTTACCTCAGTTCTTCCCACTTTTCTATATTGTAGTCATTCTCAATCTAGGGAGATTTTGTCACCCAGGAGGCACTTGGCAATGTCTCTGGACATTTTTGGTTGTCCCAACTAAGGGTGTGATACTACTGACATCTAGTAGTTAGAGGCCAAGGATGCTGGTAACATCTTGCAGTGCACAGGAAAGCCCCTTGAAACAAAGAGGCAAAATGGCAGTTAATATTGCTGAGGCTGAAAACCCTGTTCTATCAGAATTAACAAAAAACTTTCATATATATATATATATATGATATTGTGTCATTTGGCCTTTCTTAGTACAAACAAATTATTATCATGTTAGGTCATCTGTTATGTTGTAAACATGTATAAAGTGCTCATCTAGATGATCCAGAATATTCACTTATTCTTTTTTAGAGTATCATTAAAATAAAAATACAAAATTAAGATTGCCCATGGAGAACTCATGGACTGCCTATTCACTAATAAAGAGTATATATCTGTGATCCCTGGTCTGAGAAAAATCTTTAGCTGGTGTAATTAATGAATGCATGTGAGTTTATTCCTTCATCTTAACCAAAGCTCATCTTATGTATTAAAAAAAAAAGCAAAACATGTATTACAAGCTTGTTTTTTGGTGAAATGTTCTTCATTTGCTTGAAAGGTAGGCTTTTTCACCTTTCTTCATACTGCTGTTTTAATATGAACAGTAAAATCTCAAAACAGAATGTTAGAAATATATAAACAAAAGAAGCACAGCACTAAATTTTCATAGTTCATCTCTTCCCTGAACTTAGAATTTCTGAGGAACCTGCTGGGTTCAGTGGCTCATGCCTGTAATCCCAGCTACTTAGGAGGCTGAGGCAGGAAGATCTCTTGAGGCCAGGAGTTCAAGGCTGCAGTGAGCTATAATTGTGTCACTGCCCCCGAGCCTGGGTGACAGAGCAAGACTCTGTCTCTCTTAAAAAAAAAAAAAAAAAAAAAAAAAAAAAAAAAAAAATTAAATATTCTGGTGTGGTGACATGCACAGTGTAAGTCTCAGCTACTTGTGAGGCTGAGGCAGGAGGAATGCTTGAGCCCAGGAGTTTGAGGCTGCAGTGAGTTGTGATCATACACTGTACCCTTGTCTGGGTGACAGAGCAAGACCCTGTCTCGGAAAAGAAAAAAAATAATTTCTAAGGAATCTTTAATTGACCTTGGTACAACACAGCTAAATGGCCGCTAGCAGGAAGAAGGATATATTTTTCATTCCTCTTTGATGAACATGAACTTACCTTACAAACGGACCTACCATTTTTCCAAATTCATGCTCTAAAATCATAAAGACACCCTGTCTTGTCTTCCAGGAAGGCACACAGGATTATTATGAATCTGAGTTAATAGGTAAGTACTTTCAACCCTGTATTAGCAGTTCCTAGTTTCCATCTTCTATCAGATTTTCACCATTAAGATTTTTCAGGGAAATAATGTATTATGTTAGTGGTAAACTATAGTAGAGGCAGGATCCTAAACATACCCTTACCTTTAATAAGCACAAATAATCTCTCAAAAAGGAGCTATATGGTCACTTTCATTCAAGGTTTAGGTTGTTTTTTTCCTGACAGGAGGCAGGGGTGTTATATGCCTCTCCCTATTCACTCATTTTTCTCATATTTTCCAATATTTTATGAAGAGTCATTAACACAAAATATTAAGACCCAGCTTAATCTTCAGAGATACGGAAGCTGATTAGATATTTTGGCTCTTTTCAGTAGTTTAACCCTAGTTTTCAAGTGATCAATGTTAATACATTTTGAAATCTCCAGGAGTAGGTCTTTCTGTTTCTGAAGAAACCCAAAGATGATTCCTTTTTAAATGAGTTAATTTTGATACACCTGACTGCTCAGTAGACATTGGCACTGATCATCTCCTACCTTTGTTGGCTTAGTATAAGTTACAGACAAATTTGAAACTAAAGATTTGTCTATTCCTACCTCCTTGCCTCCTTAATTATTTTACATATCTTTTTAAAAAATTTGTCTAATGGATATGACAGTGGAAATCATTTTCTTTAGTATTTCAAGGGGCCTAAAATTCAGACTCCAAAGAACATTATCTTCCCCAAAAGTAAATTAATAGCAGCACCTTAGTAATCTTCCTTCCCTTTCTCCCTTCCTTCTTTCCTTCCTTCCCCTTTTTCTTTCTTCCTTTTCTTTTCCCCTCCTTTCCTCCCTCCCTCCCTCTCCTCTCTCCTGTCTCTCTCTTGCTCTCTCTCTTGCGCTCTCTCTCTCTCTCTTTCTCTCTTTCTCTCTCACTCCTCTGGCTGCTTCCTTTGTACTTTGTTACCTACTCGGGATTTTTTTTCTAATCTTACCCTCTTGTTTGTGCCACGAAAGGTCTTTCTAGTACATAAGCTAGAGGTCACCAATTATCTCACAGATATATTTTATCTAGCCTCCATGTTATTAGTTTTTCCTTTTTTAATTTCAGTTGATTCCCAAATTTTGAAAATTGGATTTTACAAAATTTAGACTTTGGTTTATCTTGAAAAATTAAAATTATCTGACAACTTTGGGCCTACATTTCAACATAACAGTGGACTAAAGCTGAACAGTTGCTATCTATTTGCTCACTCTCCAACTAAACTGTGATCTCCACTTCATCTTTTCTTTTACACCAATCTGTGGACTCATTATGTTACCTGGTGAACTCCTCTAAACATCTGAATTTGTGAGTCAGGCCTATGTTTTTCCCTTCTTCCCACACAAGTTCCCATGGGATCTGACTGATGATGGGAAACTGGCACATTGAAAAGCTGCCTCCTTGCTAATAGTGTTGGGACCAACTTCCTTGCAATTTCAATCTCTAGTAGTCTGATCCAGATTATCAAAATCTGGTACTGTAAAGCATCTTCAGAAATCCTTTAGGCCAGTGCAGTGGCTTATACCTATAATCCCAGCACTTTAGGATACTGAGGCAGGCAGACCGCTTGAGCCCAGGAGTTCGAGACGAGCCTGGGCAACATGGCAAAACTCGGTTTCTACAGAAAAATCCCCCCCAAAATTAGCTGCATGTGGTGGCAGTTGCTGTGGTCCCAGGTACTGGAGGGGCTGAGGTAGGAGGATCACTTGAGCCCAGGAGGTGGACATTGCAGTGAGCCAAGATCATGCCACTGCACTCAAGCCTGGGCAATATATTGAGCAAGGCCCTGTCTCAAAAAAAAGAAAAAAAAACTTTAACTGTAGAAAGAATCAGTATCTCAGTCAGAGGAAGATACTTTGAGCCTTCCTCTTTTTTCTGCTAAAATACCCTTTATATGAAAACTTCTATACTTTTTACATTTTCTAAAA